CAAAAATATCCACCCTGTCCAGAGTTTTTAAAAATCTCAGTTTTCAGTGACCGAAAACGCCGTTTACGTGTGGACGAAAGGCGCAAACGCATAGAAAAATCTGCGTTTTCAAAAATACCCGGGTACGTGTGGACGTAGCCTAAAGGTACAGAGTGGAAAACATGAGGGAGAACTAACTAAATATAAACCATAAAGTGATGAACAACTAAAGCTGAAAAGTTTAGGCATGAATACAAGAATACAAATGAATATAGAAACAAAAACAACAAAGCAAGAAAATAAACCATAAAGAAGCCATATGAAGTATCAGACCTGAAATACGTGCAAAATATAGAAAAGTGACACTGGGGACGTAAAGTAATACAAAACTACTAAAAACAGAGAACACAACACAAACTTAAATCACTTTACAAACCTAAAAGGAATCATGATTGTTATTTACAGCAAGTGGTCCCACTTTTAAATGTTGTCAAGTGTGGCACATGTATTGAAGAGGTTATATAATATTATTATATATCTTTAAATGAAAGTTACTTCTAAGACTTGTTTTGCACTTCATTTTGTTGTTGTTGTTAAGGTTCTTTCTATCCCTACTAGTGTTACCAGAGGATCTGACTCAACTGAGTTCAGTTTAATAAAGTTAACAGTTCATTCTTCTTATTTGCAAAGCTGTGTCCAGTTCTTCATTTCTTCTTCTGATGATCACTGGACTCATTCCTGGAATCATATTTATTTTGCTCCTGTTCCTGTTCCTGTACAAAAAGGTCTACAAAAAGAAAGGTGAGACTTTTACATATTTTACTCTTTAAAATATTTAAATATGGAGATGCAACATTCCAAAACTGAAAACTGTTCACAATATTATATAAAACATAATAAACTATGTGAACGTTAGTGTCTTATTTTGAATTTTTAATAAAGGTTCTGCCAATGACCAGAGGGTGAGTCAGGATGAAAATCAACAACAAGTCTACTCCTCTCTCCGTCATGGTTAGTTTTCTTTTTACCTAGTTTAAAATATCCTGATGCTTTTCTCTTCTGCAGCTTTAACACTGTTGAATTAAAGAAAACTAAGACAATAATGAAATTTAATCATGTACAGCATTTACAAGTAATAATACGCTTTCTAATTTCACTGTATGTTTGTGCTTACACTGACATTAAAGCTTATCTTATCTCATCTCGTCTTAGTATAAATGTTACTGACAAGAATACTTGTGTTTACATCATGTGGTGACTCATTTTCTCTGACTTGTAGGTGATCGTTCTGTCTATGAAACAATCAGAGGCTCTGGAAAAACTCAAAACGGTACAGTATCAACTTTAATATATAGTTTGTGGAAGCTATGTGATTATAAAATAACAGTGATTATTACTAAAAACAACACTAACATTATTATTTTAGTTTGACCAGAGGGTTTTTACACCTATAATTAGAATTAACTGCAGAGCTGTTTCATACTGAGAGTATATTTGAATATATTTTACAGAAGTTCAGTGTTGTTCATGAATCCACTGGAAGAGAGCATTCATCTAATGTGCTCATTTAAAGCAGAATGTATCTGGAATTGTGAATTTATTAATTTATCTGTGCTTTACCACCCTTGCTCTATATGAAGCTGGGTGACTTGTGTGCTGTAGGTCCAGTGGCTCCTTCTTGTGGAAAGTCAGCAATTCTTTCTATCGAAAGTGGGTGAGCTATAAGCATCTCCTTTCCTATAACTCAGTGGTTCCCAAGCTTTTTTTTCTAGACCCCCTTTTGTTTTACAAGAAAATCTTCGTTGTCCAAGTGAAGCCAAAGACAAGATATGCTTCATCATATTTTCTATGGCTTGGAAAGAAGTTGGGTTGGAAGCATATTTGGCAATGCTTCAACCTCTGCTTTGCGTTTGTGTGGGAGCCCCGTCAAAAACCTGTCCATTATGCCCCCTGCAATGCCCTCCCACTTTGGGAACCACAGTCATAACTGAAGACTAATTCTCATTCTCAACCATCAGAGCTTTGTCAGGTCCCATTCCCACATATTTCCCACCATTCACAGACCATCAAATGATGGGCACAAATATACATTAACGTTTCCTAGTAAAGTGTTTAGGTTTAACATTTAACTAAACATCTGAAATATGTTTTAAAAATGATTCTCTGATTTTTTGTTTTTATATTATATTTTTTAATTCTCACTGAAAAAATGGAAATATCAGTAGGAATATTTTGATAATGTAAACATTAAATCATCATTATAAGTGAGGCAACTTTCTTAAAGGTTCATTGATTACATTATCTGTGTCAGTGTTTTCATTTTAAATGGTTGTGATTTTCTCCTTAACATTGTACAATAAGTTGGTTAGAAATCATATTAAATACCATAATATAGACTTAATATTGTCTTTTTTTCCCATTAAGTATTCGTGTTCTTTACAATCGAATATTTTTTTTATTAAAGCTTTTTTATAACATTTCATGTAACAAGAAAAAGTTTAAAAAGTGTTATATGTAATATTTGTAGTGTGTGAAAATGTGGCTTTAAATTCAGCTGTTTCTTTGTTACAGTAGATATAATGAGAATATTTTTACACATTAGATCTTCTACATTATCCCCAAAGTAATGAAGAGTACATACAGTATTCACAAATAGTGTATGGATTTGAATGTATCGTGTATTTCATGTCTATTTTTTTCTATACAAATTTGCAATACATTTGTCTTTATGGAGCTGGAACAGCAAATACAGTGGTGATCATTATCTTAAATTTTTATGTGCTTTGGCCTTTTTTTGAGGGATGAGTGTGGTTTTACAGTTTATTTTAAGTCAGTGTCAATCATGACCATACATCTATAGCAGCAGTGAACAAAGACACGATTGCTCAATTCTCTAAGACAACTGGCAAATATACAAGAATTTCATGCATTGGCCTACAGTAGCAAAAAGGTTCACTCTGGTGGAATATAGTGGAAAAAAAAATCAAATGCTTTTCTTCAAAATGAAAAGCTGACAATACAGAATGCATTGTTTTATACTGCAGTGGCAGAGAGATTTAAATGTGGTTTCAGTGGAAGCCAATAGGACATTATTCTCCATTGCACTTCACAAAACAATGACATTACAATTAAGTCAGTTTTGCTGCTGATCTTTGACATGTCCAAGACTCTAATCACCACGAGTGTCCTTCCCCTTACTAGATATTATATGCAAAATAAACATTTCAACAAACAACAAATAATTGAAATGTTTAAACTGTCATTTAAAGGCTTAAAATGTCTGAAAGTTGATGGAAATATCTTATTGCTTGATCAATGAGATCAAAAGATCTCAAGTTGATTCGGTGATTTATGAAATAAAGACAAAAATACATTCTTATGTGACAATTTCATGGCAGATTTTGTGTGTGTACAGTTTTTGTCCATTAAGGTTTCGAAAGGATTTAAAATTTAAGTGTTAACAATGATAATCTGGACTCCACTCACCCGACTTTCAGCAATATGCAGACTTTAAAACATGGGACAGTACAACTCTGGGCCTTCTATGCAAACACCATGGATACACACATAGCTGGTGCCCTCCTCCCAGTAGCTAGATTAGACAAACTTGTCCTGTTAATACTCAGTATACTCATGTCAAAGACTTTCTGTTCTGCTAAAAGCAGGATTTATCTGCTGCAAAACTATAAATGTAGCACTTATCTATCTGATATGACTGATCCAGGCAGTTTGAGATAAAATATCAACTGTGTTTAAGCCTCTGCTTCACTAATTTATAAAAGGCCTTCATTTAGCTCCTCAACAGAAGCTTTTTAGCTCATCTGCATCAAATGTTTGTACTGCATAAAAATAGCAAGTTGCTTTTCAAGTCCACAGATGTGCATCTCAGGGTATCTTGTGATTGTAGAATTGCTGTGAAATTTAAAATACCTAAATTGTACAATATAAACTGCTTTTTAAATGTGGTTTTAACATTAAAACTAGAAAAGTGCTGCATAAATCTCACTCTGTGGTATCTCTTGTGAAATGGGCTTCTGTCTCTTTAAGGGTTTCATGAGAGTGAACAGGGAAAACACCCACTGCTAAGTGCTCTGTGTATAGTAGTTGCCGATTTAAAAATAATAGTAATAAAGAAATATAAATAGAAATTAACAGGTGTAACTGCGGGTGAAACAACATCATACCTTAATTTTTTTCCCCATTTTCTTTCTGTTCTTCTGTAAAGTATAAAGCACAAAGTGTGAAACTTTGACACATTGGTGTGGGCACAAAATGTCAAGTTTAGCATGCCACAATTACACCTCTGTCACATGTTTAAAGTTTATTTGATTTCAAAACCATGACCCATGAGACTCATGAACTCAGCCCAGCTGACATCACCATAAACACAGCAGCACTTTTAAAGTAACAGAGATACAATCTGAGAGAGCGGAAAGGACTTCCTCTTGCCTCACGCCCACTTCTGGTTAACGACACTATTTCTGTTTAGCTTGACCTTGCTCACAACATGTGGGTGAATTTATCACCAAGCCACAATTTCATAGTTCAGATGTATTTTCAGTTTTATATTTACATCTCTGTTTATCAGCATCAGTTAACACTTTGTTCTTCTATCAATCTATTTTGGCCTGTATTTGTGTAGCACTTTACTTAATCCCTAAGGACCCCAAAGTGCTTTACACTACATTCAGTCATTCACCCATTCACACACAAGCTCGAACCAGCAACCTTCCGATTACAAGACAAACTGCCAACTCTTGAGCTACGATCGACGATATGACCACGATTTTCTTAATTTTTTATAAAGTTCTGGTTCTCAGATGGTTTGCTGACTATCAAAGCTGTTTTAGGATGAGAGGTAGAGTACAGATGAACATTTCAATAAATGTAAAAAAGTATAAACACGTCATGCGGTGGTCAGAGCTTGTTAAAGAGTGTTAGTTCTGTTGAAAAGGAAGGAAGCTGAGAGAAGAAGTTGAAAAAAATCTTTGTTTCCTTCACAGCTCTTTGGTATCTGCTGTGCTGCTGCTTCACTCTCTCTCTTTACAGAAAGTTGTAGAAGTTTTCAGACGTGTCACTGCTGGATGTGAGGATGGGAGCCACTTTGCTCTGTGAGCTGGGCCTATTCTGTGAGTACATCACTGACTCCTATTGTTTGATTCATACTGATCCATAAACATGTTTTAGTAAGAAGAACAGAGCATCAGTCATTTGTACCATTGCAGGTCATGTGATCAGAAGACTCATGTTTTGTTATTAATATGTTTTTTGATGGTTCACTCTAATCTGAGTCGGTGTGTGGAGCTGGTTTAGTTTATCTAAGAAAGATTTATTGTCATGGTTTGCTGTGTACCAGGCAGGATGTTGGACCCAAGTGTAGAACTCGTAAACAGAGGAGTAAACTCAAAACGATAGCTTTAATGCTGGAAAACTTCTCATCCATATACAAAGCAAAACTAGAAACTCAAATACTAGAAAATAAGCCAGAAACTGAAAACTAGGAATAGACTTGGAACAGGAAAGAAACACACAGCATTATGAGTGTGCGACATGACAAATGACAGAAAGAAACACAGGACTTAACCCTCTGGGGTCCAGGGTATAATTGGCTGTTTTTGACTACTTTTGATTTTACTTCTATATTTCACCTTTAAAAACTGTTTATCTTGCTTCGATTGGTACCATTATTTTCAGCACAACCTTAAATATCTGAAATTTGAGGGTTTTTTTCATTTTGGTATACTATATTAGCACAATTGATCTAAATCCAGACAAAAAATTCAAAATCCGAGTAGAAAAAAGTTATATTTTTTACTGTAAAACCCACAAACATGTTTAACGAATCATTTTCATAACTTGAAATGCAAATAGAAATTGTACATTTCTAAAAATTATGCACAAGTTTTGCAAACAAAAGTCTTTAATACCATTTACCTAAAAATGCAGCCAAGGCCTCAGGCGTTTTTTATATAACCATTTAAATCTCTTTACAGAACAATCAGGTGTGCTGCATCAAATAAGAAGGCACACAAATTACTAGTGCCACTTCAAAAAATAGTTTATGTTCAGTATGAGACAGAGGAGAACACCACAGGCCTAAACCCTGCAGGTCTGACAGCAGGAGGTGCATCAGTCCAGTTTTCCATTTGGAGACAGCGTTTACACTGGAATCTGCCTTTGGTGACGTTTTTGGAGCAACTGTAACATTCAGCAATATAACTGACACACAGGACAATGAGAGGATGGGGAACAGGTGACAACACAGGCGGGACAAATCAGACCTAACAACACAAGGGAAGCAAAACCAGACACACTGCACACAGGACAGGGACTATCAAAATAAAACAGGAAACATACGACAGGCACAGAAGCACAACCTTGACACTGAACAGAGAGAACACGAAGCACAGGCACAGGAGTGACAAACTGCGACATGAGATACGACTGACTGGGGAACATGAAAATAAACATGAAGAGCTACATTCTGTAGACATACATGAAAACCTGATGATGTTTAAGTTTTGTTTTTTGTTTTTTTCTCTTGTTATTTCAATTATATTTGCATGTTTGAAATAAAATTCTTTCTGTCTGTCTGTCTATCTATCTCTCTATATATCTATCTATGACAGAACTAAACATGAGGGGCACAAGAACAAAACCCAAGAACTGAGTGTCGCTACTTTGATAATGTCTGAAGTTTCTGTCTTTATTTTAGTGCTCTGTACGCTTCTCTGCACTGGACACGCTCAAGGTGACACAACACTTTTCACTTTTTTTGTTTTTCTTTTTCATTTATCTTACTTCTGTTTACATACTACTGTTTCAGTCTTAAGCACTTTACATTTTTCTTTTTATTTATTTATCTATATAACTATCACTATCTTTATAATTTTGTGAATATAAACTAAGGTTGTGGCTTCAATAGTACATGAAGTGTTTCAGATTGTTAACTGTGTGGTTGTGTTGGATTCTAGATGCTGTGCTAACTATTGAACCCAAATCGTCCAGTTTTTTCATTGGAGAGTTTGTTACCTTCAAATGTGACATGAATGAAGGAGAAGACACTGACTGGTTTTACAAAATCAACGGGGATGGTCAAGAAGTTTTCTCCTACAGGACAAACAAAGACTCCAAATTAGAAATTACATCTACACGTGACAGTGGTGAATATCAGTGCATTGGTGACAGGAAGAGCTCACGTGATAAAAAGATCAGTAATACTGTCTCTATAACTGTATTAGGTAAGTCTTCAGTGACCGACAGCATAAATGTATGATCCCTGTTCAAATACTCAACTGAACAACATTTAATTAAATTTGTCATTGAAACTTGAACTTTAACCAGGACCAGTGTAAAGTCAGTGCGACAATACTCACAAGTTGTCATTAACAAAATTAACAAATTGAGTTTTAACAACAGAGTCAATCGTGGATGAAATTAAATTTAATTACATTTCTAAAGGAAAAGAAGAAACATGAAAAGCTTCATGAAGTTTAAAGTGATGATGTTTCTGTTATCTAAACCAACTAACCAGCATTAGTTTACATTCAGGGCCATAGAATGGACAAACATTTAGACTACGGTTATTTAGAGATCAGCAAATATTAATGTAAATATAAACTGTATTTTTTTTAATGTTCTTATGTTGTTATAATGAAAAACACATATTTATTTTTCTTCCTCTTTCATAACATTAGATAAACCCAGGGCCACACTGACAGCAGGAACAACAATCATACCAGTAGGGGGCAGTGTGACACTGACCTGCTCTGTGCAGAGCTCTGATGGATGGAAATATGAGTGGTTCAGACGAACCCAAACAACCTCTGAAGTTCAAATCAGAGATCAACAAAACAGAGATATCATAGTATCTGAAGGAGGAATCTACAGCTGCAGAGGAACAAGAGGAAACCCAGTTTACTACACTGATAGAAGTGATGATGTCACCATTGAGAAAACCTGTGAGTTCAGTATTTCTTTTTAAAAATGTATTTTTTTGATTTCATGTTTCTGTTTGTATCTCAACTGTTAATATGTGTAAACAGTTTCCAATAAAGTTGTTGTAAAACAACAACCCAACTGGTTTCAGATATTCAGAGGTGAGACGATCACTCTGACATGTGAGGTGCAGGAAGGAGGTGAAACCACTGAGTGGGAGTATGAATGGAGAGGACCCAGGACACCCACACAGTGGACACACAATAATGATGTGACATTCAGAGTTTCTGAGTCCAGCAGTGGCCGGCATCACCACTGTTTTATTCAGAAAAAAAACATTGCATTTATTTTTTATCATAACTCTAGTTTTACGTGGCCTATCAACACAATTTAAAAACTGGTATATAGTTTGAAGTCCGCACGTTCGACCCAAGTTGAAATGGAGACTCTGGGCCCGTCAACCACAGAGGGTTAATCAAAAAGCCTTAAGTTGGCTAGTTATGTAATGGGCTAATGTTTAAAGCTTTCACTTGAATAAAGTAACTCATATTACTGCTACTGCTATGTAATGTTAGCTAAGTTCACAGGATATTCCATAAATCTCCATGCCGTAACTAACTGTATAATAGCGCTGCCGTATTGTATCACACTCAGTGCATTTCAATCACTTCTTCAGTGTGATAGCTAGCAAAATAATAATCATAATTTTTAAAAATAGCATGTGTAAGGTACACTTACTGGAAAATGATTTACTAGGACTCACCTATCATGCGACTGGAGAGCGCAAACTACGCCATTGTTGTTTTCCATCAAATACTCATTAAAACAGCAACCTACAGGTATGTTAGCGCACTCATTCCTGACTGTTAGGGGGAGGGGCGGGGTCACATGTTGAAACAGACAGAGGTGCAAGGCAGCACATTTTGCAACTCATTTTATTTTTCTATCTGATAAGAAAACTATTCAATCAGATAGTTATTTGTGGTGAAAGAAATACAGTTACACTTCCAAGCACTTTTAAGCACCACATCTGAAATTCAAACTGTTGAGTCTGTGTTTCCACAGGCCCCACTAGTTTAGAGACTTATTCCTCATGAAGAACGGAAAACAAGACCGTTCTTCATGAACATCTTCAACCAGTCTTTAACTCGCTAACGAGGGAGAGCTTTGGTCAGAACCAGGCAGTGGAGCAATGCTCCTCACCTGTCTCTAGCCCAAATCCTTCAAAGAGCAGCTCTCCTCGCAGCTATTTATTCCCATGACAGTTACAGTTTACACAATACAACACAACACCTCCTACCGTAAAACTCCCCAATGGTTCTAAGACAAGGCATTGTGTGTGTGTGTGTGTGTGTGTGTGTGTGTGTGTGTGTAAGCACCTGTATGCATGTGTATGCATGTGCAAAAAGAGTTGAAGTGAACAACATGCTTATTAACACCTCTTTTATCATTCTGATTTAAAAAAAATTAAAATAATTGCTCTCATACCATTTCAATTTGGCCTCATTCTTTCCTATGTGTTGTTGGAAACTGGAAATTTAAGAGGTAGTATACAAGATGTAAAATGAAGGCATACAACATCAGGGCAGTGTGATATTGACCTTTGTGTTGGGTTTAATATATATTTTCTTTCTGTCTTTGTCTAAACTCAACAGCAGATCAACCAAAGGCCCAAATAATGTCTGATATGAGAGACATCCCAGTAGGGGGCAGTGTGACCCTGACCTGCTCTGTGAGCCCATCATCATCATCTGGATGGAAATATTACTGGTACAGAGATGAGAAATCCTCTGAAGCCCTGACCACACAAGATGCAGTTTTCCACTCAAATGGACAAATCAGTGTCTCACAGGAAGGACTCTACAGGTGCAGAGGAGGAAGAGGAAACCCAGTTTACTACACAGAGGACAGCCAGTCAGTCAGGATTGATCACAGGGGTGAGTTTTTTTCTTCTTCTAGAAACACAAAATGTGAAAAGTTAATGATCTGACATTTACACCTTTAGTGGATGTATGAATAGAAAACGACCAAACTTCCAACAAAAATGAATTCAGGAAGTTAAATATGCTTTTAAAACCCGATGATGCAGAATACAACTGTGAGGGGAGAGTGCACACCAGGGTTCAACAGATTAGAGTGAATACTTCAGTTTGTCAGTATTCATTATGTTTTTATACAATACTTAGAATAGATGAAGATGTGAATCTACTTCTATGCTCACTCATCCTCTGCTGTATAATTATAATAATAATTATCATTACTGAAAAATTAAAATATTTTTTGTGTTTACACTCACTCTTTCAAATAGATGCAAGTAAAACACAGCAGAAAATAAATAAAGTCAAAGACTAGCGGTCCTGTTGCTCTATTTTCACCTGTAAAGCAGGACTACAGTAGGCGGAGGTTTACCCTGGTGCAGGTGTGCCACGGTCAGTTGAAGGATACGGCAGTTTCTCTGTGAGTTTCCCATTACGTCGTTGCGCTCTTGGTGCTTCCTTGGAAGTTTAGGGGTTTTTTCCACTGTAAAAAGAAGTTTTCTTCCCACGCACGATGGACGCTAATGTTTTTGTCACTTTTTATGGAATCAAACTCAAAGTAAGGTCAGTACTTCCACGCTTTAAACGCTGCACGCTCATACTCTCTCCCACAATCGATATGTGATCCATTGTTGATCTGCAGACAGCTGTTGTCACTAACGGCGCACTCGCTTACGTCACTGTCGTGAGACATTCTCGCAAAAATCACGGTTTTAGTAACGCAGTAATGCAGCGTTCCTACGGGAAAGTAACGGTAATCTAATTACCGTTTTTGCAATAGTAATCCCTTACTTTACGCGTTACTTGAAAAAAGTAATCAGATTACAGTAACTGCCCGTCACTGGTCCAGCTCCGGGGCTGCCGCTGGAGGCGCGGGTGGCCCCCAGAACCACCTCGTCACCGGTGCTGGTGGATGTGCAGGCGACCGCCAGAGTGGACACTTCCCCGTGGCTGGGCAGGGGGCTGGGGCGCCAATTCCCCCGCCTGCTCGCCTCAGTCGGGTGAAGGGGGTATGTGGCAGGTTGGGTTCTGTGATGCTGCTGAAGGTGAGATGGACTCACCTGCACTGCATCTAAAGTCACGCCTCGCCAGCTTAAAATCTGTGCTCTGCTTTTGTTTTGTTTTTTGGTGGTGATGTGCATGACTGGCAGCGGGAGAGTGGCAGCTGTTGAATGTACTGTTACACACAGCAAAATCTCCAGTGTTAAATTAACACTGGAGATTTTGCTGTGCAGCAACGATGTAATTATTGCAAGAATAAATGATGCTGCAAAGCATGAAAATGCCATCGGGTCTGCCGTGGTGGTTTAGTTATCAAGTTGTTTTTGTTGGGGTTTTTTTAAAGAAAAATCTTAAATAAAAAGTGCACACAAATAAGTAAATAAGTTAAAAAGGGGGAGAGGGAGCAAAGTGTGCCTGCTCTGCGCTGACACAGGAGCAGCGAGTCTGGCGACCTTGCTGTTTTGTCTTTGCCGAAAGCACAGCATCGCAAACAACAGCAGAACTTAAAGTAAAGAATCGATCTCACCAGGCTAGTATCGATCCGATACCGATGCCGACTTGTTATCGATACAATCGATATTTGGATCGAGCCGCCCACCACTACAAAACACAAAAAACATTAGCCCGCAAAGCCGCATTGAACAAAGCAGCATAGTGCAACGAATTCAATTCAAATCAATATAAGACTTATTTGTAACCTACAAATAAGTCTTATTGCAAGAATAAATGATGCTGCAAAGCATGAAAATGCCATCGGGTCTGCCGTGGTGGTTTAGTTATCAAGTTGATCGATTCCTACAAATAAGTCTTATTTGTAGGTCAACAATTATGTTATGATAAATTACTTAATAACTACAACAAAAGACTTACCATTGTTGAAATGCTTGGAGCAGACTAACATGTGAGCTGGAGTGTTTTGGAAAATTATATTTGGTCTGCAATCCAGGCCATCCGTTGGCTCTTTGTTACTTCGGAAACGTGACTCGAACAATTTCTCTACCACGACATAATCCGATAAAAACCGATCACTTTACCCGTCGGCTTCCCGTGGCTGTCATGCGACCAGTGTTGTGCCAAAAAGTGATTGTGTCTGTGTATTTTTTATGTGTAATATCTTTACGTATGTTCGTAAATAGACTTCGGTGAACAGGTTTTACAAAGGGGTTATATAGAGAATTTAAAAAATATCTGTTTTTAAAGTATCTTTACAACTCTCTGCTATTGTACTTACATTATAACCAATCCGGTCCTTTATCCCCACTTAAAATATTTTTACAGAACTATTGTAATATTTGCTGCCATTTCTGCTGTCCTCTTGGCCAACTTACTCTTACAAAAGACATTTTTAATGTTAATGAGATTTTTTTAACTGCATAAATAAAGGTTATATAAAAGTCACTGCCAAAAACTGATTGTGGCTTCTACCTTGTTACACAGATGTTGTTTGTGGCTCAAGATGACTTTATGTCATCCATGAGGGATGCATTTGACATATGTTTCACATATTATAGCCCAACAAGTTACTTATAGCAGTTTAAATACGAGGAATCAGTTTTTGGCAGGCAATTACTTTTTGGCAAAACACCGGCTATAGCAGTTAATAATACAACAGCTTCTTGCCATTCTTTGAGTTTCTTTTTATCGCTGTTCGACTGTTTTCATGTAAAAGCTAGTGGTGGGCGGATCGATCCAAATATCGATAGTATTGATCCCAAGTCGGCATCGGTATGGGATTGATACTAGCCTGGTGAGATTGATTCTTTACTTTGAGTTCTGCTTGTTTGCCATGCTGTGCTTTCTGCAAAAACGAAACAACCAGATCGCTGGACTCACCGCTCCTGTGTCAGCGGAGAGCACTTTGCTCCCTCTCCCCCACTTTTATGTTTCGGTGTTGCACTGACACGTCACGTGACTTAGACACTTTGGGGGTTGTTAAGTTATTTACATATTAATTATATATATTTTTTGTTTTTGTTGTTGAGAATTTTAATGGTGATTTTTTTGTATTATAGTTTATCAACAGTATTTGTTTTAATTTGTTTACTGGTTTGCGTGCACTTAAGATAAAAAAAAAAGAGTGCCACCACGGCAGACCCAATGGCATTTTCATGCTTTGCAGCATCATTTATTCTTACAATAATCACACGGTTGCTGTAACAGTACATTCAACTGCTGCAGCTCTCCCGCTGGCAGCCGTACACATCACCACCACCAAACCTGCAGGCTGCATGGTCCTGCGTTTCGGCACGCATGACCATGCAGGACCCCCGCGCACCTCGACCTCCGTCTCCAGCTTGGCAGGTCCCGCTGGCGTGCCAGCCTCCGGCTCACCCTGAGCCGCGCGCTGTCCACCCTTACAGTGATCACCCGGTTGCTGTAACAGTAGCCTACAATCAACGGCTGCAGCCTTCCTGCTGCCAGCTGTACACATCAACACCAAAAACAACAACAGCACAAGCAGCGCACAGGTTTTAAGCCGGCGAGACATCATTGTAGATGCAGTGAAGGTGAGTCCATCTCACCTGCAGCAGCATCGCAGACCACGGCCCGCCACAATAATAAAACATTTTTTTATTTAATTATAAATAAATTATTTCTCCTAATTATGTCCTGGGTTTTAACTAATTAATGATACCAAAGGAAACATCACAAAAAACACTTAAGGTCATGAAAATTAATTGCGATTTAGCAATTCAATGAGGCATCCACCTTATTTATTGAAAGGTATCGTATCGGTATTGGTATCGGCGATACTGGCCCGAATTTACTTGGTATCGGATCGATACCAAAATATGCAGTATCGCACACCACTAGTAAAAGCCTGTGTGCGCTAGTACCGCTTGCCACTTGTACCTATAATCCTTTGCGGTTTTACCCCAAAATGACGTCATATTTTCAATCTCTATTGGGAATGGTACAGGCACCGATTGGTTTTCTATCGCCCATTTGCTGCGAGGCGTCCTCCGTTTGCGAGGTGCGCCTGCTGCTTAGCGGCACAGGGAGGAGAGGGCGAGGCGGCGGGGGATTCTCTGACTGGCTGGAGCAGCATCTAATAACCAACTCGCAAAATAAAACAAAATAAAAACAAACCAACAAAATGATAGAGACTTATAATTTGCACCGATGTTTTTTCTATACACGAAAGGCGAGTGCGAGAGCCCTCGGTGTGCCTGCTGAAGTCAAAGTAAACTTTATTGTCATCTCCACTACATACAGTCCAGTATATAGAGAGACGAGACGACGAGGCAAGCAAACAAACAATAAATATAAGAAGAGTTAAAAAATATATACACACTTTAGGACTCGGGGTAAAGGGATCAATAACAATGTAAAATTTATAATTTACAGTTTGAGGATTTAAAGTCTCACACAACCTGTTGACAGAGGAGGGGCCGGCTGCTTCCAAATAGAGCACATTTCATTCATAATGTTGTAAATCCAAGCCCATTATGTATTCATGATTTGAATCCTGGGTTGTGTGAAATCAGTCACCAGGGCCCTATTTCAGGAAGCCGGTTTAGAAAACTCAGAGTGAAAAACGATACTCAGGGTTGAGTAACCCCGAACTGTCCAACTCGGAATATTCGGTTTCAGAAAGGCTGATAACAATTAGTTCAGTCAACGCGGAGTTGCTTTAACCCCAAGTTAAGCGCGCGCACGAGGATACATAAAGCCCTGATTAGTGGAGCACAGATTAAGCGAGTCACCATGGAGACGGAGGGAAAGAAGGCGCGGTCAATGTATTTTACAGCGCTTGAGGCCGAAATTCTGATGATGGCAGCATATGCCGATAACATGCAAATTATGCGGAAAAAAAGTAACACAGCCTCAGCTGCAAAAGAAAGGGAGCATGCATGGCAAAACATAGCCGACAGAGTCAATGCGTGAGTGTTAATTTAAACATTGATCTAGGGATTTCCACCCATTTGACACGTTATTTTATTATATTTTATTTTTTATTTTATACATTTTATTTTGTGATGTGATTTGAGCGCAGGTGCAACCCAACAGGCCCCAAACGTTCCTGGCAGCAAGTAAAAATGAAATATAAAAATATAGTCCAAACAGGTAAGGTGTAATTGTATTATGAGCCATAGTGCTTGGTCTGTTTGTCCTATGTAAATCAATTGCAGTTAGAGGCTACATTAATTTTCTTTTTGTAAGCACTTATTGAAATTATCTGAGCACATTACAAGTACATATTTGCTTACTCTGTATGCTCAAATGCGACCCATTATAGCCAACAGAAAAAAAGCGGAGGCCCGAAAAACAGGTGGGGGTCCTCCACCACCACCACTCACAGAGGCTGAGCAGTTAGCTTCCACATTTGTGATAATGTTGGCAGCATCACAGATGATCTTCACAGTGCAGAGAACACAAATTAGCATCCATTACTATAATGAAATAATTTGTTAGTTTGAAATGCTACAGGGAACTATGTACCTGTGCATTAATGCTGTGGAAAGACTTCCTGTTCACATAGTCTCCTTCATTTACTGAAGGAGCAATGATTGGAATGTGAGTGCCATCTGTACAGCCAATCACGCCTGGGAACCGTGAGAATAAATGTAACATTTAAGTAGTAGTTCAAGTATCACCACATCATGAATTAAGTTTTGTTCATCCTGATACCTGCAATTTTGTGGAATCCCTCTTTGATAAATCTTGTGGGTCTATGACCGGGGAACACCACAAACGAGTACAGGAGACGTTTCAGTGCAACTGTAACATTCCTGACTGCCCGACAGACGGTAGCCTTGGAAACATGCTCAGCGTCACCAATATTATACAGAAAGCTCCCGTTTGCAAAAAACCGAAGTGCAATACAAATAATGTGTACAGAACTGAGAGGATGTCCGCGATGTGTCACATGAGCAATATTAGGCCTGAGGATGTTATTCAAATAAATTATAGATTGTGCTGAAAAACGGTGACGTTCACACAGGAAATCATCAGGAAATGATAAAATGTCCAAACGCGCTCTAATCACTCTCTCCCGGCGGAGAGCTCTGCGGAGGATTTGGGCTTCAACATCTACTGGCTCTTCAAGGAAGGAGCACGCCATGTCTGACACTTCCTACAGTCAGGTTTCCGACAAAGAGGCGGAGAAAGTCAGGGTTAGTTGAAGTAAACCTGCTAGGGGGCAGGTTAGCTTCACGGAGTGTGTCGTCATAGTAACTCACTCAGAATTAATCTAAACTCGCTTTGTGAAACCGAAAACCCAGAGTTTTCGTTAACTCAGGGTATACTTACTCAGAGTTTGCACTAAACCGGCTTCCTGAAATAGGGCCCAGGTCCTCAGTTTAGAAAAAAGAGAAAAGAAGAGGAGGAGAAATGAGCAAAAGATACCGGAAAGCTGATGTGTCATTGGATAATAGCAGGTCATTTATCCTGACAGTCAGACTCATAATCAGACTTACACTTTACTCATTAGAAAAATTTATTTGAAATAATATTAAGATGCTCAAACAGAAAAACATTAAACATAAATATAACTATTTACAGAGAGGTGGGAATAAAAAGGACCCAGCTTAAAGTGGAAGAGCCTCAGGGAGAAGGAGGAGAAAAATAAGAACATTGTTTCTGCCGTGGAAAGCCTGCTGCCTCATCAGAAAACTACTGATTGCTAGAATGAATGGCTTTGGCTGGACCTGCCCCTTTGAACTAGGTCAGAGCATCACATCACCAGGCCCCTGATTGGTTGTCGCGGTGCGACTTGACGCTGGAGTTCAGATTTTTCCAACTCGAGCGGTAGATGAGATAAGCGTGAATGCACAAAATGCACCACACAAATTGCAGCGTGGATTTTACTTTGTGCTTCAAACGTGTCAGTCGTGCTACTTGGCTCCGCGAATCAGGCAGAAAAGCGCTTTCGCGACGCAAATCTGCTTCTGAAGTTTCGCGTGACCCCCAGTCGTGCTTCATCGCGCTCCTCCATTGACTTTACATGTAAACCTGAAGCTCTGGTCGCGTCTATCGCGTTCGGTGTGAACGCACCATTACTGAAGGATATCCTGTCACTCTGGGCTCCAGGCTGGGCTGGACTGGGACAAAAAAATCAACCTTGGCATTTTTGGTCCATGGAGCCTACCATGATTGCTAACTAAACGTACACTTTAGCTATCAGCAGTGACTTGTGGTCAAAGTAGCCATTCATTTTTACCTGAATCTTTGAGTGTCTCCCTTCCTAATTATGCTTTTTTTGCTTTTATTAATGTTTTTATCATTTAACCTTCAGCCTTTGGGCTCGTGCCTACTATGCCTGGTATATCATTGGTTAGTTATATCTCCCACCTGTCAGTATATTTTATTTGTATTTATTTTATTTTATTAGTTTATTTACTTGTATTTATTATTGCTCTTAATTGGTTTCCATGAAGCACTTTGGCATACATCTGGTTTTTAAATGTGCTATATAAGAAAACTTGTATTGTAATTGTATTGTATGTCCCTCCAGGCCTGGAGCCAGAAACATCCAGTAACCAGGTCTCATAGACTCAGGAGGCTGTTCTTGCTAGCACCAGCCATAAAAAAGTAGATGGAGTGATATAATTAGGAAGCGAGATTCAAGGATTCCAGTTAAATGAATGCCTACTTTGACCATCAGCCACTGTTAATAGTGAACTGTCACATATATAAGTATGTATGATACGTATATCACGCAGGGCCACCTGGGCCAAAAGTGCCAGGGCCAATTTCTTGTCCAATCCAGCCCTACTAAAGGTTGAGAAGATAATTTTTTCTTTCTCATGTGATTTTCCATAGAAATGACAAACTAATCAAAATGATATGAGATAGGAGTGTTGAACAGGTGATGTGACATTCAGATCAAAGTTTCTTTTGTATCGCTATTCAGGTAAATAATCACCAGAGAGCAGGATGGTGTAAAACAAGTGCAATCTTTCACTTTTTATTAGGAATAGTGATATTGTAAATAGTACTATATTTTTATGTTTTAAAATGTTCCTAAATTATGTGGATGAATCTGTATAAATACGTCTAATTAAAGCCTGGTATTATTACAGCAGCACCTGAAAGCTCTTCATTTCTCACTCCTTTGATTGTTGGACTTGTTTGTGGAATTTTACTGATTCTTCTTCTGCTGCTGTTGTGTCGCTTCAAAAAGGGTGAGACCATTTTCTGAACTGAATATAAAGTAAATAATAAAATTCACATATGTAACTTCAACACTCCATGTACCAGAACAATTTACTATATAACACTGAAATTTTCTTTTCTTCCAGATTCATTCTTTACCAGGTTGGTTAAAATCTCCCCTCTCCTGTACTAGAAGTATATCCTGTGTTTCTTATTAAATCTACAGGTTTACTACTTTTTCTTTTTGTTCCACCAGAACTCGGAGCACAAATCAGAGCTCTGCAATGAACCACGTGATCAAGGATGAAGCTCAACACAGTCGACATAATTCTACTTTTCAAGGTCAGCCTGATCCATGACAAGTTTTGTTGTTGTTGCTTTTTTTATTTACTGACAGATTTTAAACTCCAAGTCCAATTTATCTGTTTCGAGTTTGCTGATTTAGAAGATGATTCATACATAAGAATTTCATTTTTTAATCTATCATTGGCTTGTTTTTGTAGGTGATGCTTGTGTTTATGAATCAATCAAAGACCACGATGACACACAAAATGGTAAAGTAGATACAGTAGCATTGACATATGAAGACTATGTGATTATTTATGTTTAAACATGGAAGTTTTAGAAATATGCAGCACACAGATAAGAAGAAAAAGAAGTTGGACACTTGGTCCTTCCGGTGTAACACAGGGTCAGTTCAACTTTAAGACCAGTCTGTCCTACAACCACTGTGAATCTGTTTTATGAATCCATCTCATTCCTCCTGACTGATTGTTTTCTAGTTTCACTTTTTGCTGGTGTTCCTGTCACTACTGGTAGTATGAGATGGTACACCACCTGCAGTCCATTCAGGTAGACCAGCTCGTTCAGGGCGACACATTTAGCGCACTCTCAGGAAAGTGCTGTGACATACTAGGAGATGATCTGTAACACAAGCAGAGCTGAGCATCAGGGCCATAAGGGCTTTAACCAAGCAGCATGTGCATGTTTCTGGTCAACTATAAGAAACAGACTCCCTGTTTATAACCTGAGAGACTAACATCCTTAACTAATACCACAGCACAGCAACGTGCCACTCAGGTGGACAGTAGCACAAAGGAAAACTAGAGAAAAATAAGTCAGGAGGGATAAGGAGAGAGTGATGACCTGTGGCCACCACCTGTACAAACACTTATTTTTTGGCAGTTGCCTTGTTGTTGCATCTCCAGTGCACCTCTTGTCACTTTGATTTGCACCAAAGCAGCTAAAACGGATTCAGATGGGTTTACACTTCCTAAATAGACAAATTGTTGTTCTTGATGTTTATCTCACTCTGTGTTATGTCGGTTTGGTAGATTTTGGTATAGTTCAATAAAATTCCTTTTTTTTTTTTTTTACCTCTGTACTATCTAGCATGTAGGTATGTAGATATGTAATAAACATTATTATTATATTAGTGTGAGTGTATTATTTTCACCTATAAGCATTGCATGTAATTAATTTCAACCCTGTTCTTATCAGAAATAAGAGAATAGAAGAAACATGTGAGGAGGCTGTTGATTAGATCAGATTATTGTTTTCAAAGGACATAAATGGTATGAGCTACATTCCCTCACTGGAATTTAGGTTCTGACAGAGATGGAGGAAAAGTGAAGAGTGATCCTTAAGGTTTGGATTTGAGCTTAGTGAAAGGGTCGTGCTGAGCAGGGATGAAGGAGGGTTGAGCTGATGTGAAACTGAATTGAGGGCTAACAGGTTTTCATAGAAATGTTTTTAAACATGACAGAAACATCTCATCTTTAATAGACCTTCAATAGGTTTAGATGATCAGTGTGGTGTCGACTGACAGAGATATGAATGTAATGAAAAATTAACACACTTCACCCTTTTTTTTTTATCTTGATCATCTGTCCATCCTCTTTCAGATGGCAGTGTGTTGTATGCACAGGTCTCCCACGATAGAGCTAAAACCAAGAAAGACAACGGTGAGTGAAGTAATAAGATTTTTTTTCTTTTTTCTTGTTTTTTATGCATCAAGCAATCCTCATTGACTACACTATTATTTCATCATTTTAAGAGGGTAGTGATGATATTGGTTACATAAATACATAAATTTCCCTCACTGGATTATAGAGTCACTGACTTTAATGACCAGGGGTGGAGGAGGGTTGAACTGAAGCTTTTTATCCTGATCATCTGTCCATCTTCTTTTAGATGACAGCCTGTTGTATGCACAGGTCAATTACAATAATGCGAAACCGAAGAGACACAAAGGTAAGTAAAGTAATCAAATAAGTACCTAATTTCATGCTTGCTTTGAGTTTTAATTATTTTTACACAAGAAGAAAAAGTTGTAAAAATAAATCAAGTTGTCACTTTGAACAAAGAGGCGCTTGCAATGACATTTGACAAATCATTTCTTTGCAGGGAAACCAGCTCCTGCAGCAGCTGATGAAACAGTTTATTCTGAAGTTAAATCACAAACAGCTCTGGGTAACTGTGCAGAAATAAAATAGCTTACATGTTGTGATTTGTTGCTGTAACGATGAACTCAAGTACTCAAGTTTTTAGGGAGTAAATTTAGTTCCAAATCACCTTTAATGACTGAATTATGCTGCATCATTTCTTTCAGATTAATAACAAGATCTGCAAAACCAACTGGATCAGTGACAAAACTGAGTTTCATTTGAATTTAAGAGAGCTTTAGAGAAATTGAGATTATGCACTGTTTGATAAGATAAAGTAAAATAAGTAAAATCTTTCATCATAATAGCCCAAGTGATAATCTGGCTTTGAGACCAGGATGCTTCGCACACATGAACATTCACTGAACTGCAAGTGTTGTTACATGTTCACTGCTAAATAAATAAAATAAATAATAAATAAATAAATAAATACAAATACAAATACAAATAAACAACATCTTGAAATCAAAATAATCAACCTACAGGGGGCTGAATTTTGATACACATCAAAGTGAAAAAAAAAATGATGCAGACCATTTTGTTGAAATTTCATTGCACCGACTCAAAATTATACTGAGTAGTCAGTTTGTCTTCCATGGACTTGTATGCTTTCCTGACAATTTTGGAGCATACTCCACAAGAGATGATGGTGTCCTGAGGATCTCCTCCCAGATCTGGACAAGGGCATCTGAGCTCCTGGACAGTCTGAGCTGCAGCATGGCAGCTTTAGATGGAGAGGAGCATAATGTCCCAGTTGGATTTTGGTCAGGCGAGTGTGGGAACCAGTCAGTGGTATCAATTCCTTAATCCTCCAGGAACTGCCTGCATACTCTCGCCACATGAAGCTCGGCATTGTCATACCAGGAGAAACCCAGGACCCACAGGCACCAGCGTAGGATCTGACAATGGGTGACAAACTCTTGAGACTGTGCTAGCAAACCTGACAATTGCACGCATTGAACTGGCAACCTAGAGAAGCTAGACTGCCTGTACAACCTCTGTAGCATCCAGGGATTGTCTCATCTCATCCTACCAGTAACGATGATCACTCTAGCCAAAAGTAAAACTAGTGAAAAAGACAGAAAATATGAGAAAGGAAAAAATGCAGTAACCTCTAGTTGTAAAATGATTCCTGATTTGGGATGCACCTTTTGTTAACTGCATGTTTTGCTACTTCACAGAGCAGAGATGTCTAAGTGGTGTGATGCTTTACTTGAATTAAAAGTAATTCTTTAATTTTTTTTTGAGCAGTGCATATTTACAGATGTTTTCTGTGTCTTGTCTAAAATCATTTGATGTCTATGATAAGCATACACATGTTTACATGTTTATTTTCTCCTGGATGAATTAAGCATCACTTGACATATTTCTATAAAATTGTTTTTCTTCTTTTAACAGTTTTAGGAAAAGATCAACTTTTTGTTCTTTTTATTTAGGTAAGCTGCCTGCAGAGCAGTTTTATTTTCTGTCAGTGTCAAACTTAGTTCTTCCTCTCAGCTGTTACCAGGTGCTTGTTGTTTATTGCAGGGTGTTTAACTTACAAAATCAAGGCATATTAAGGTGACTGTTATTGTGAATTGTTGTTAAATAAACAAAACTGATTTAAATTGACTCAAATGCTTGTGTTCTAAACCAGCAAAGGAAGTAAAGTGGTATCAGATCATACATATCTTAGGGTGGGGATATTCATAAACCCCACAACTGTACATGGAAAGAAAAGGACAGAAATTATAACTTTATGTACAGTCTGACTATAGGATTTACTCTGTTAAAAATAGGAGCCTATATACCTCTGATATCAATTTTCAGAGGTAACCAACAAATAATTGTATTTTTGATCAGAAGGTTGGTGGTTTGATCTCTGCCTCCCCCAATCTGCATGCTAAATATCCGAGGGTAAGATACTAATCCCAAGTTGCAAGTCCCACAGTCTTGCAACTATTGATACCTTAATGTTGATCAAGGTACTTGTTCTTTAGACGCACTCAGTGATACAGTATTTATTTATTTATTTATTTGTTTATTTGTTCAGTTTCAGAAAAATACATTATCTGGTATTTTCCTGTAAATATAAAAAGATTGTCTCATTCTTGGATTTAAAACAAGGAGCAGGATTGTCAAAGCGTTTAGACAGCAGATATGATGAATCAAAGGTAATATATAAAAACACTAATAATTGCGGTACATCAATCTAAAATCATAATAATAAATTAAGTTTTGACTTTCTTCTCAGCTTACAAATAAACACCCAATAAGTTAGTCTCATCTCTAACTGAAGTAGAGGCGTGACTTCTGTTTTCAATCATTTTCATGTAAAAGCCCTTTATTATTTATCATTTCTTATTTGGCTTCTCTGTGAAATCCTGTTCTGTTTGTGCAACCACAAAATGCTCAGTGTGAGTCTTCTACTCATTCATCCATTTTCTGTGGGTCAGAATTTCCCAGTTCTTGGGTCACAGAGGGCTAGAACCTCTTCCACGTGCCATCTTTCAAGATGCAACACCGCACCTTTTTTTAACTTTAACTTTTTTTAGACTAGGCTTTCAAACTTTATTTCACCTTCCTCTAGTTTCTCTACTTATACCTCTTAGATATAGCGATACAAGATACTTGAAATGTGCAATTCACTTGTATTTTTATTTTTATTCCTATTTATTCTATTTATCCCCTTCGTATATTTTATTTATATATGTCTCTGTATTTATATATGTGTGTGTGTGTATATATATATATATATATTATATATATATAATATATATAATATTCTGTAACTCTGTAACTTCTGTCGGTGCTGTACTTTTGGAAATAGAATTTCCCAGAGGAACCCACCCGAGGGATTAATAAAGTTTTATCTTATCTTATCTTATCTTATAAGTTCAGGACATGGTGTACCCTGATCTGGTCACCAGTCTATCACAGGGACAACAGAGAAAGAAGGAGACACCTCTTACTGTTGTTCTCTGACATGAAGACCTTGTCTTCTGTGTTCCATGGTAACATAGTTCTGCCAGAAACCAAACAGTCTCCTGTCACGGTCCCTGAGTTTCTCTCACGATGGCCTTTGGCCTCTTTCTCTCTCTCTCCTGTTGGTGCTTGTCTGTGTTTGTTCGTGGAGGTGTGTTACCTTTGTACAGAGGTAGCTCCGCTCATTGTCTCTGCCTCCTCACTGGCTGCTAACCTGTAGAAGATCAGCTGATCATACTGATGTACAGCTCGTTGCTCATCAAGCTGACTATTTCAGACTGACAGAAGCAGACACTCAGTTGTTGCCATATTATTGTGTGAGTGAGGTACGTGCTCATCCTCTGTCTTGCATGATTTTCTGTTTCTCTTTACGTTGAATTAATCAGTCTGTCTGTGCAAATCTCTCTGTGTGTATCGAGCCCTGTGAGATTAAAACAACAGTGTGTATTTACTCTTGGAACACCGCCTCTCCCAAATCTTTAATTCATTCACCTGCTGCTTTGCCTCTGTTTTATTGACTTAGCTGTAAATAACCCTGTTACATATTCCCCAGTGCTCTGTGAGTGGGTTTATCATTCTGCTTTTCCCCTTTTTTTCCGTATTTAGCAAAGTGAAAATAAAATAAAATAAACAATAAAAGGTGAATCAAATGGACCATTACGGCAAGGCTCAGATGGTCCATTTGGTAAAGTAAATCCGTTGGGCATCTTTCTTCGCCTTTAGGCAATAATTCTGATGGCAAAAGAGCCAAACGGGACAGGCAAAAAATAAATAAATAAATAAATCATGAATTGACTTACATTTTTTGGAAAGCTGGGTTCAAAAAGTAACACATCCTTCATTGATCTATCAGTCTGGAAAGGGTTACAAAGCCATTTTTAAGGCTGGGAAAAAAATGGGAAAAATTTAGAAACTTGGAAGAGTGGCAAACCGTCCTAGAAGTGGGCGGCCTTCCAAAATTACTCCAAGAGCGCATCAATCCCTCACTTAGGAGGCAACAAAAGACGACTGAACAGCATCCAAAGAACTGTAGATCTCACTTTCCTAAGTTAAGTTCAGAGTTCATGATTCAACAATAAGAAAGGGACTAGCAAAGAACACAAAATGTCTCATAATTATCAGAAAGGAGAAGATAAAAAATAAAGGAGTTTGGATTTGTGGGACACTTTACATTCATAAAGCTCAGCTTAAAATTTAAAGGGAGGTATTTTTACTTATAGATTTAACTCTTGCATGAAAAAGTGCAGGATTACCAACAGCTGCTGTGTTTGGTAATGATTTTGTGTGCTGGTGATTAGTGTGCACCAGCAGTTTATGACTGCGATGTACCAGTGGTGGCCTACTGGATGATCATATCGATGACAGGAGGGAAATAACAGTCTATTGTCTGGTTTGCTAATATTTTTTTTTATCTCTGCAGTTATACCTCTATGTCAGTTTGAACCCATCTAATATATGTGTTTTGTAGACTTCAAATGTTACCTTAATGACCCAACAACAAATGTGTGTAAGGGTAGTTTTTTTTTTTTTTTTTGGTGATAAAGCTCCTATCAAACAAAGCAAGCAGACAAGTAGGAGGCAAAGATGAGACACTTGTGTGATGCTAGTAATGGTTTATGAAAAAGTCAATTTAACACATCAGCATACAGTGCATTCAGCCTTGTTATGGTATATAAGCATTTAATTTGCCTTATGGTAGACACTGTGAATAATGGCTGATTTAGATTTCTCTGCTGAATCTTCATAAAGGCTATGATGTCACCTACATAAGTTGCCAGCAGTTATGGTTGTGTGTGGTACATTATGTGTTCCTGTCCTGGTGTTTTATATGTGGCGCCAACCATAATGGAAACAAACAAAATGCCAGAATTGTTATTTTTCCTTCTTTTTTTTGTTTTGTTAATTGAAATCCTGGGATTAAACTGTTTGCTTGTTTTTTAAAGTTTGCTTTTCCAAAGAAAAACATGTGCTCTCCCAGTTTTTCCACTTGTTTGTATATTACCCTTGTACTGTGTACCTGTTTGATAGATTTTCCAAGTAACCCACCTTGCTGAGTTGTAATTTCTGTGTAAAAAGGAAGGAAGAGAGGGAAGAAGTTAAAAAAAAACCTATTGTTTCCTTCACAGGTCTTTGGTATCTGCTGTGCTGCTGCTTCACTCTCTCTCTTTACAGAAAGTTGTAGAAGTTTTCAGACGTGTCACTGCTGGATGTGAGGATGGAGCCACTTTGCTCTGTGAGCTGGGCCTATTCTGTGAGTACATCACTGACTCCTATTGTTTGATTCATACTGATCCATAAACATGTTTTAGTAAGAAGAACAGAGCATCAGTCATTTGTACCATTTCAGGTCATGTGATCAGAGGACTCTCATGTTTTATTTATTTCATATTTGAGTGTCTTTAGTTTGATAATGTCTG